TCATCTGGGATCTGTATTGTTGCCTCCTGTCCTGTATTATTTGGCTGTTCCCTTCCTCTTTTCTTTGCCTCTTTGCCTTTTGGCTGTGTGCGAGTTGGTCGATATGACACACGGGGGTGGGGGCAGCCACCGCTCAGCTCAACGTACATCCATGTGGGCGGCCTTGTACGCAAGAGGTTCTGAACAGGGGGAGTTGTAAGGAAGAAGATTAAAAATGAATTAAGTTTTTCTTGTTTTCCTTGTTTTCTTTTGTTTTTCGCTTCGGCGCTCTGATATCATGTGACAATATATAAAAATATAAAAATATGCAAATATACAAAAAAAAATAAAAAATAAAAAATAAAAAATGTTTGTGAATGTTATTTTTTTATTTCCAATTTGGTGGATAATCCCGATGTGACTCGAGGCAAAAGCTGTTCAGTTTATTTTTCTGCATAACTTAGTTTTTTTGGTTTTTTTTTTTTTTTTTTKTGCTGGGGCCTTCCCTGGTCCTTGCACGGCTGGGCCGCCCGGGAAAACGAGGTGACCCGGGCCGCCTGGGAAAACGAGGTGATCTGGGCCGCCCGGGAAAACGAGGTGACCCGGGGCGCCTGGGAGAACAAGGTGACTCGGGCGGCCTGGCTGGTAGCGTAGCTTGGAAGTCGAAAGTTGAAACTGTTTTTGAAATTATTTAAATCCCAATCTGAACCATTTCCCAATTTGGACCTTCAAATTGTTGGCTACCCGTAGCGTCTGTCCAGCACTCCAGCCTTTCTGACAACAGTCTCTGACAAACATTCCTTCTCCCGAAATGACTATGCGATGTTGAGCGCATCGGCTCCCATCCTTTTCGCGAAAGGCGAGAGCCCTCCTGGCCGCTGCGAGAGGTACGGCTGGCGCACTCGGCCAGATCGGCGAAGGGACGACGCAACCACGTCCGTTCTGGCGGCTTGCGGGACTACTCGCGCGTTTGTCCCCAAGTTGTCTTGCTTGTTATAATTAACTCCTGCGTGGCGTGGCCGGAACGGCTCTCGCCTTTTGCGAAAAAGGCGGGAGCCGATGCGCTCGACAGTGAGTTTTATCGCGATGGAGTTGCAGGCCCATGAGTTGGAGCCATTGCAATAGGAATCCTTGAGCGCCTGAACAATTCTTCGAGCCTTGTGAAGAACAACGAGATCATCGGCGTATCTTACTCGGCCTTCGGCCGCATGTTGCTGAGCCCACTCTCATTCAGAGCATTCCCCATTCCGTGCAAAGCGATGCTTGCCAGTAAAGGCGATATAACTTGGGGCTCACCAGAGTTACATATAGGTATAGGGCAGCTGGCCAAACCAGTGATCAGGTGTCTGCTTTCAACCAGGCCTCATATATGTGTCTAGCTTTTCCAAGAGGTATGAAGTGTTGATCCGGCTTTCTGCGATCCTTGTTCCTCCAACTTTGTCAAGATCTTCCCCAATCTCTGAAGCGCTGACTGCTACTAACGCGTGTCTGCGCATACCTACCAGCCTAGCTCAGTCGGTACACCCATGAACTGTTGCAATTCGGACCCGCGTTCAAATTTCAATGGAATCAGATGAGTGAAAAGTAACTCTGCAGTTACCTGGGGCCAGTCAGTCCAATGATAATATCTGACGTCTGTCTCCCTTTAAGAATGCTTGTCTGCACATTCTCTGCTTACGGCCTTTCACGCAGTCGGAGTTTCTTACCATTGCGCTTCAGGTTGATGTGTATCTTCGCTACCTGCATTGTACACATACGTATCCAGACGATAGAAACTGTACCAGGGAAGGAGGCTTCACAATCAAGGAAGGTCCTTCAAGTAGCAACAATTAGGGGCCACCAAACTGGAACTGCGCTATGCCCAACGCTGTAAGTGGTTTCGGGCGTGTGGGACCATTTCGTGCTGGGTCTGTGGGACAAATTGGTACCAGGTCTGTGAGACCAGTTGATGCTCTGGATCTGTGTCAGACTTCTGTGAGGTACCTTGCCTGGCATCAGCCAGTGGGACAAATTGGTGCTGTGTCTGTGGTACCAGTTGTTGCTGGGTCCGACTCCCGTTGGGTAACTCGCCTGGCATCAGCCATAGCCCAGCTCGGCTACCCCGTCCGCCTTCGCCACGAAGGATGGCAGTGGCGATGTGGGAGCCTCTGTGCCGCTTCGGTGCGGTGCCAGCGGTCGTTTGCGCCACTACGGGACTGCTGACCTGTCTGTGAGGCGCCGCTGCCTCTCCTCTTTTCTCCCCACCCGCTGGTTGTTCTCGCTGTTCCTTTTCCCTTTTCTCTTGTTCTTGAAACTTAGTAGTGATTCAGGGAAAGAGAAAAAGAGGGAAAAAAAAAAAAACCCCTTGTGACTCACCTTGCTGATTCAATCAATTGTCTTGTTGTTTGATTTTCGTTTTGTTGGATTTCATTACTTTTTTTTGTTTACCGGCACAGATCCCGTCTCCAAATGTGGCAGAGGATCATCAGATGAAGAATGCGAGGGCCATGGTGGATGTGGGAGCGGCAGAATTGCTCTTGGACAAGGATGTGACTGCTACTTCTCTTGCAGAGCTGATTCGCTGTCTTATCGGTACGTATTGTTACTTTGGTAATTTCCTTGTTGCACCGGTCGCCAAGGAAAAATAAAACAAGCTATGCTTGCATGGTGGATGTGGGAGCGGCAGAATTGCTCTTGGACAAGGATGTGACTGCTACTTCTCTTGCAGAGCTGATTCGCTGTCTTATCGGTACGTATTGTTACTTTGGTAATTTCCTTGTTGCACCGGTCGCCAAGGAAAAATAAAACAAGCTATGCTTGCATGGTTTATTTTATTTTTATTTTTATTTCAATTATTATTATTTTTCCGGTTCCCTTTCCCAAGGCCGCACACGTGTTGTTGGCGTGGACCTTGTTGCCATTGGCCTCGTCTTTTTTTTTTTTTTTTTTTTTTTTTTTTTTTTTAAAGGTTTTTTTTTTTTTTTTTTTTTTTTTTTTTTTTTTTTTTGAAAGGGTCGTTTCTGCAAGGAACCCTATCTCGTTGAGAAGCAATCAGCGATGTTACACAAATTGTAACCCATCGCTCGACACGAAGTCTCCATAGTTGATTTCGAGTCCATACCTTGATTGTGATTGCACATTTCTGATGTAGCGAACCAACAAAGAAGAGCAAGGCAGAAGTAGATAGGGGAGAGAAAAGACACAGAAGGGGAATAGAAGAGTTACATTATTAATAATTAATGACACAAGACGCTCCCCAACTCCCACTTCTTCTTTGGGCATCTCTCAACATCGCCACCTCATTAGTGCATGCTCTCCCTCTGACGAAGATCACTGATATAGTCGCTGTACAGATTCCAGCAGAGCGTCCCTCCTCCTCTCACAGTCGAAGCCAAGCAATGGAGGCTGGCGCAGTCGTCGCTCAACTTCTTGGAGACCGTTAGCAGCTCAATCACATGGGCAACAGGTAAGTCCAGGTAAGCTTCCCCTTTATTCTCCCATTAGTCCCACAGACCCCCTCCTCCTCCTCCTCCCCCAACTATCTAAGCTCTAGCTATGGCGGCTATGGATGCCCCACCATCACTGTAATGAACCCAGTCTCGTCAAATAATCATCTTGTCAAACAGCAATGTCGTGCAGTGTCGTGAGATAATCATTCCAGGAAGTTCATCACTTCAACGTCATCAAAGTACATGATCCCTCAGTTCCACGTGTGATCGAAGTCGATAGTATTCAGATTAGAAAAGAGAGGGGGAAGGCAAGACAGATGGAGGGAGAAGAGTATCACAGCATCAATTCCCACTTCTCCTCCAGGCTTCCCACCTCTGCCACGTCAACAATCTGAACACTGTATGCCACGTGGATGATGTAACGCAGCCCCTCGCAGATGGGCAAACTTCCAGCAGCGAGCGGAATCAGCAGCAGCGTCCCACCAGGTAAGACCAGGTACGCACGCACGACCTCACACTCCACCCACACTCTCTCTTCCTCGCCTCACTATCTTGCTGTCGACTATCCTTGCAGCAATGACTGCCTCTGTCTCCTATAGTATCTGGCTGGTGCGCACGAAACAATATGGCGCCAGCATCCACTCAAGTCTCACGTGCAGCGTCGAAGCCGCAAGCAACTCGCAAGACTGAATGACCCACCCATACTCTCTCTCCCTTGCCTCGCTATCTCGCCGCCGACTATCCTTGCAGCATCGACTGCCTCTCTCTCCTACAGTATCTGGCTGGTGCGCACGAACCAGCATGGCGCCAGCATCCACTCCTCAAGTCTCACGTGCAGCGTCGAAGCCGCAAGCAACTCGCAAGACTGAATGACCAAGCAGTGGTGAGGTCAACTTGATATAGCGTCGACTTGCCTGTTCAGGGTCAGCGTCAGTCCATGTGAGGGCCCGGATCATCCCATCTGTACCAGTTTCGGTCTGGACTCCTTGAGGCCTGAATCTTCCGGGAACCTGCAGACAACTGTTAGATCATTCCAGATCGACGGCCAGGATATCTTGTGTGTGTTGGCTTTGACTTCTCGGATCTGGGCCCGGGTCGACGAGCTGACTGTTGACTTTTTGGTCAACGCTCGGCCTGGGCCATTTTTGAAGGCCTGTTTGACCCCTCTTTTTCCAGGCGGGCCGTTCGCGCTTGTCTGCGGGCGCGAGCGCGACGAGAGCCCGGTGGCTCAATTTGGCACATGAGTTACAGCAATTGCCTACAATAAGGCTGGCGCCCTCTCTCAGCTTCTGGCACCAGCATCTCACCACTCAGCCTCGTGTGCGTCAACTTGGCCGCGAGCGACAACAAGGCAGAATGACCCTCCCCTCGGTGTGGTCGACTTGCATTGACCAGCCTCCTACTGGACCGCGTTCGACAGCCAAGATGTTCCTTAAGTCCACGTCCTGGATGCACTGTTGACTCAGATGTCTCGAGTCCCCGTTGGTACTGGATTCTTGGAAGCCTGCAGCCAAACCTTTGATGTGCATCTGATCTACCTGCTGTGTGCGACTCCTGGTGGACTTCGACTTTGGGCCTGCCTGCTACTCCCGCCCGTGCTGGGTCTGACTGTTGATTTTCCAAGAGTCAAAGGTCTGCCGCGGCGGTACTGGATACAGCTTTTGAGTAAGGGATACAACTTTTGAGAAAGGGACTGGTATCCCGTGACCCTGTGACTCTGTACAGGCCTTTTAGGAGACTCTGGACACGACTCTTGACCCCTCTAAAATGACAAATGACCAATCGTTACGACCCTTGCTATCGTCACCGACTACTTGGCCCACTGCGCTACACCTCACTCGAAACTTGGTTGCACAGGCCCGCAGCAGCGCTTCCGCGACAAGCTCGAAAGGGATTGTCTTGACGCTTTGCTGCTGTTTGGACTTCTGTATCCAACACTTCAGCTCCTGGACTTTCTGTATTTGCCCCTCCTTGGTTGGCTGCAGTTGGCCTTGGACGCATCCAGAGAGCTGTACTTACTTTTCTGAGATTGATCTGCTGACCGGACTGAACTGACTGACTGGACTGCCCGACTACTCAAGACAGGCGAAATGTCCCTATTAGCCCACCGGACGTGCTGGGCCTTCTTGCTTAACTGCCGGATTGGTACTATGGTATATGGACCTTGGGAGCTGGGAGTCGACGGGAAAGCATTTCCATACGAAGAAAAAATTGGAAGTCTGTTGTTGCTTCTTCCCCTCTATGCTAAACGTGCTGCCCTTGTATAGAAAGCAGTTTGCAAGGAATGTGGACACGATCCCTGCCTTTATGCATGCTGAGTGTCGTGTAGCACTTGATGAGCAGTCCTGTTCCACCCAGATGAGTAGGTGCAAAATTGAAGCAGCTTTACCTCTATTGCACACAATGAAGCACACTAGAGATGAGCCAATCCAACAATGAAACAGTTTTTCCTCTGTGCTAGGCTATGGCGAGCAAGATGGAGCAAAATAAATCCGTTATATCCCTTTCTTGAATATCTTTACTTCGGCTTTCCTTGGGGTACCCCTCTTATTTGTTCTTGCAGCTCCCTTGTTTCTCACATTGAAGGCTGGCCACTGGCCACGTTGATTGTGCGCCCACATCCTTGCGTGCCATAATGGCCCACCTGCACATTATGAAAGGAGGCAGATTAAACGGGGAGGTATACTCCTGTTCCCTTTTTCTTCAGATATTCAGCTTGTATTTTGACTCTTCTCTTAATTATGCTCATTTGTATGCAGATACTAGCACTACAAAAGAGAAGGAAGGAAAGGGGTAGGGATGTAGTTTGATACGGAGCGAGGACGTGGGAGGGAGAGGGGGTAGAGGAGACGAGTGGAGGCCTGGGGCGAAAAACCAGAACAGAGGAAAGATTAACTTCAGGGTTCTCGATACACACCGCTGGAGCAGTTTACTCTACAGGGTAGAGGAGACGAATGGTACAAGAGGCCGCTCAGTGTTTGGGTTGGAGGAGATTTTGAGTTGAAGAGCTGCCGTTACCTACAGTTAGTGGCCACCTCTACAGACCGGACAGGACCGGTTTGTGTGTAGTTGTCGAAGCATGTTACATGCCCAGTTGGGCGATGTACAAATAAACCGAGGATCCGCAATGTGATAAAAAGGACTGAATGGACAATGCAGTGCAAGTGTAATCTCAACAAGCAATGTGCATTCCGATACATACAAAAATGGTGCTTTATAGCGCAGGGAAGACTCAGATACAAGTCCTGACCTGACCGGGACTGACCTCTTTCACGTAGTACAAGATAGCATAGCAGAATGCTAGAATATCAATGACTAGCCCACTCACTGTTGCACGCAGACTAAACATACATCATTATTATCACAAGGTGTGAAGAGACCTGGCGCTGTACACAGGAGGAAGGCGCCAGGCCCTGATCATGCACAGACGAAGAGGAGGGGAACAGACGAAGAGGAGGGGGAGAGATGGGAATATCGTCAACACCATGTCTTCGTGACAAGTCCCAAATAATCCCTCGTCAAAATGTCTGAAGCCCAAATGTCGAGTCTGGATCCAATGTCACCAAGCCCTCTCTCTCTCTCGTAGTCTGCTGCTGCAGTTAAGTCAGATAGTGAGAGGGTGAGAGGGAGATGGTGGACTGAGAAGAGGAAGAAGAAGAACTCTCTCTCTCTCTCTCTCTCTCTCTCTCTCTCTCTCTCTCTCTCTCTCTCATGTGCCAGGTACTAACCTGTGAAGATGGCGCTGTGCTGCAGGTACCTCGAAGACGAAGCTGGAGCTATGGTGCTGCAGGTAAGTCTCCCTGGCCTCCGTCCAATCACTCTCTCTCTCCAGTACTACTCTAGCTCCTACTAGCGNCTCTCTCTCTCTCTCTCTCTCTCTCTCTCTCTCTCTCTCTCTCTCTCTCTCTCTCTCTTGTATGCGAGGTACTAACCTGTGAAGATGGCGCTGTTCTGCAGGTACCGCGAAGACGAAGCTGGAGCAACGGCGCTGCAGGTAAGTATCCCTGGCCTCCGCCCAATTTCTCTCTCTCTAGTACTACTCTAGCTATGGTGCCCAGCGCTGAAGACTACAGCTAACGCTACTAGCGCCCAGCGCTGAAGACTACTGCTAATGCTACACTACTCCTGCAGTGCTCCTCCAGAGTGCTGCTGCCGAATCCTGAAGACTACCTCCTGCCTCCTGAGCTGCACGTGAAGTGCCTGGGAAGTACCTAGGTACTACCTCCCAACTACCTGCAGCCTGCAGGGCTGGCCAGTCTTATATAGTGCTGGCCCGTCCAGGAGGCTGCTCTTGCCAATG